GAAGAAGAAGAAGAAGAAGACGACAACAAAGAAGAAGAGGAGAAGAAGAAAAAGAGAAGAAGAAGACGAGAAAAAGAAGACAACAACAAAGAAGTAGAAGAGAAAAATCATAATAATAATAATAATAATAATAATAATAATAATAATAATAATAATAATAATAATGTACTAGGGTGGAGAAGCCCTAAGTACCAAGATAAAAAATAAAGGAAAATAGTTCGTTAGGTGGGGACTAGAAACAAGAATATTCTAGTCCAGACACGAGATCTTCTGTGTAAAGTCTAATAAGCCAGGCAACAAATAAATAAACTACACACGCTAACCACAAGCCCTAATCTGAAGCAAAGCAACTGGAACTATAATTATCACATTTACATCTATTTATTTCACTGAACATCATCTACAGTCTTTCTTCACAAATAGTAATGCATTACAATTCACAACGTGCTAGAAAATACCCTACAACAGATGGAACCTATCTTTCGGCCTACACACCTCAACCCACGTTGCGTAAAACCATTGAACGCAACGGATAAATCAGAACTACATGTCTCTCGTCCTAAAACCAGTGGCATAAGAGAGCGAAAATGGTCACTCCCGTCTGTTTTATCACTTCCTGACCCCCAAGTTGGCCAGGTTTTTAGCTCGCTTAAATAAGCCTAATTCAATTTATATAACAGTAGTCCAGCGCCTGTTTCAATAATAATAATATTAATAATAAGAATAAGAAGGGAAGAAGAAGACGACAACGAAGAAGAAAAAGAAGAAAAAGAAGAAGAAGAAGAAGAAGAAGATGAAGAGAAGATAGAAGAAGATAGAAGAAGAAGAAGAAGAGAGAAAAGAAGAAGAAGAAGAAGAAGAAAGAAGAAGAAGAAGAAGATAGAAGAAAAAGAAGATAGAAGAAAAAGAAGAAGAAAAAGAGAAGAAGAAACGACAACAAAGAAAAGAAAGAAGAGAAGAAAGGTAGTAATAATAATAATAATAATAATAATAATATATATATATATAAGAAGAAGAAGAAGAAGAAGAAGAAGAGGAAGAAAAAGAAGAAGAGAAGAAGAAGATTAGGACAGAGAGTCAAACAGAAGTTAGATAGAGCGAAAGACAGAGAGACAGAGAAAGACAGAGAAAAGAGAGATATATTAAGATAGATAGATAGATAGATAGATAGATAGATAGATAGATAGATAGATCGATAGATAGATAGATAGATAGATAGATAGATAGATAGATAGATAGATAGATAGATAGATAAGATAGATAGATAGATAGATAGATAATAGATAGATAGATAGATAGATAGATAGATAGATAGATAGATAGATAGATAGGCATAGATAGATAGATAGATAGATAGATAGATAGATAGATAGATAGATAGATAGATAGATAGATAGATAGATAGATAGATAGATAGATAGATAGATAGATAGATAGATAGATAGATAGATAGATAGATAGATAGATAGATAGATAGATAGATAGATAGATAGATAGATAGATAGATCGATTAGATAGATAGATAGATAGATAGATAGATAGATAGATAGATAGATAGATAGATAGATAGATAGATAGATAGATAGCTAGATAGATAGATAATAGATAGATAGATAGATAGATAAATAGAGAGAGAGAGAGAGAGAGAGAAAGGGGAAGAGAGAGGAAGAGAGAGGAGATTGAGGGACAGACAAAAATAAATGCATTATAATTTAAAAGACAACAAGTTAACAAACCAAACGAAAGAAGAAACAAGAATAATTTACGACGAACCTAATGGCAGTGATAACAGAAGCCCGCCATTATTTTTACTGCACTGTGACTGCACAACTAGACAACAAAGAAAACTTGTGGATATTTCTTTGTTTCCAGCCACTGCTGTTCCTGGCACATGTGAAGTCAGGTAAACATTTATACATTACAATAATTTGACTATTTTCCCTTTTTTTACTATTAGGACTACTGCTAACTTGTTGTATTAAGTGTATCTACTTATCTTGATGTTATCTCTAAAGTTTAAGTATATGTAAACTTTTTACATGTTTAATGAAAAATTATAGTGTCAAAAAGGTCCTTCTGTATATAAATAGAGAAGGCCGTGTGTCAACATACGGCGTGAAGTCTTTCATTGTCATCTTTAAATCTGATGTTAACTAGAAGAGAAATGTTTGTATACTTTCGATCCTAATTCTAATGTTAACTGTTAGTGTCAAGTCTTTTACTTTCGACCTTATTTCTAACATTATCCTTTAATTTCACGTCTCTTCCTTTCCACATTATTTCTAATGTTAACATGTAGTGTTAGTTGTATTACGTATCACAAAAGAGCTAAGGTTATCTTGTAGTGCAGTCTTTTACTTTAGAAATTAATTGTAATATCAGCTTATAGTGTTACACCTTCCAGTTTGGAAAATAATTGTTATCTCAGCTTTAAGTTTTCAGTCTTTGGAGAATAATTGTTATCTCAGCTTTAAGTTTTCAGTCTTTGGAGAATAATTGTAATGTTAGCTTGTTGTGTTACGTCTCTCAGTCTTTGGAGAATAATTGAAATGTTAGCTTGTTGTGTTACGTCTCTCAGTCTTTGGAGAATAATTGTAATGTTAGCTTGTTGTGTTACGTCTTTCAGTCTTTGGAGAATAATTGTAATGTTAGCTTGTAGTGTTACGTCTCTCAGTCTTTGGAGAATAATTGTAATGTTAGCTTGTTGTGTTAATTCTTTCAGTCTGGAGAATAATTGTAATGTTAGCTTGTAGTGTTACGTCTCTCAGTCTTTGGAGAATAATTGTAATGTTAGCTTGTTGTGTTAATTCTATCAGTCTGGAGAATAATTGTAATGTTAGCTTGTTGTGTTACGTCTTTCAGTCTTTGGAGAATAATTGTAATGTTAGCTTGTAGTGTTACGTCTCTCAGTCTTTGGAGAATAATTGTAATGTTAGCTTGTTGTGTTAATTCTTTCAGTCTGGAGAATAATTGTAATGTTAGCTTGTAGTGTTAATTCTTTCAGTCTGGAGAATAATTGTAATGTTAGCTTGTAGTGTTACGTCTCTCAGTCTTTGGAGAATAATTGTAAAGTGTGGTTGTATTATCAAATCTTTCAGTCTTGAGAATAATTGTAATGTGTGGTTGTATTATCAAGTCTTTCAGTCTGGAGAATAATTGTAATGTGTGGTTGTATTATCAAGTCTTTCAGTCTGGAGAATAATTGTAATGTGTGGTTGTATTATCAAGTCTTTCAGTCTAGAGAATAATTGTAATCTTTCTTATGACGTGACTGACCCATGTTGAATTGATTTTTCCCCAGACATAACTGACCCATGTTTTATTATTTCTAACACAACTGACCCATATTTTATTATTTCTCACATAACTGACACATGTTTAATTATTTCTAACATAACTGACCCATATTTTATTATTTCTAACACAACTGACCCATATTTTATTATTTCTCACATAACTGACACATGTTTAATAAATTCTAGCATAACTGACCCATGTTTTGTTATTTCGAACATAACTGACCCATATTTTATTATTTTTCACATAACTGACCCATGTTTTATTATTTCTAACATAACTGACCCATATTTTATTATTTCTAACATAACTGACACATATTTTATTATTTCTAACATAACTGACCCATATTTTATTATTTCTAACATAACTGACACATGTTTAATAAATTCTAACATAACCGACCCATGTTTTATTATTTGCAACACAACTGACCCATGTTTAATTATTTTTAACATAACTGACACATGTTTAATTATTTTTAACATAACTGACCCATGTTTAATTATTTTTAACATAACTGACACATGTTTAATTATTTCTAACATAACAGACCCATGTTTTATTATTTCTAACATAACTGATTCATGTTTTATTATTTCTAACATAACTGACACATGTTTAATAAGTTTTAACATAACTGACACATGTTTAATTATTTCTAACATAACTGATTCATGTTTTATTATTTCTAACATAACTGACACATGTTCAATTAATTATTTTGGACATAAGTAACCCGCTTTCATTATCTATAATGTAACTGACTCAGGTTTACTTAATTATTTATGACATAGCTGACATGTTGAATTAATTTTTCTCAGATAATTGACCCACGTCCAAGAATATGCTATAGCAAAGTGATTAGGTCGCTTGTCTGGCGCTATGATGGTCGCAGGTTTAGTTCATGAGTCCGAGTGTTTTTGAGAGTCAAGGTTTTCTTAGTTACGTGCTTCGTGTGGCTCGTCAGACGAGAAAGAAATGGGGATAATAGAAAGAGAGAAAGAGAGAGAGAGGGGAGAAAAGAGAAAGAAAGTAGGAGAAGAGAAAGAGAGAGGAGAGAAGAAAGAAAGAAAAAGTCGTGGGGGGGGGGGGGTAGTTATATAGGGGAATTTAGATCGAACCAGGAGCCTCCATCCTGATTGGACCCTGAGCCCTGGAGCCTCCATCCTGACTGGACCCTGAAGCCTAACCCCTTCTCCGACTGGACCCTGGAGCCTAACCCCTCCTCCGACTGGACCCTGGAGCCTAACCCCTCCTCCGACTTGACCCTGGAGCCTAACCCCTCCTCTGACTGGACCTTGGAGCCTAACCCCTCCTCCGACTGGACCCTGGAGCATAACCCCTTCTCCGACTGGACCCTGGAGCCTAACCCCTCCTCTGACTGGACCCTGGAGCCTAACCCCTCCTCCGACTGGACCCTGGAGCCTAACCCCCCCACTGGACCCTGGAGCCTCAACCTTGACTGGACCCTGGGGCCTCCACCTTGACTGTACCTTAGAGCTTTCCCCCTGACTGGAGCTATGACCCTGGAGCCTTCACCCTGACTAGACCCAGGACCTGGACCCTCCACCCTGACTAGAGCCTGGAGCCTTCACCCTGACTGGACCCGGGACCCTAGAGCCTCCACCCTGACTTGACCCTGTACCCTGGAACCTCCACCCTGACTAAAGCCTGGAGCCTCTGCTTGCTATTCTCCAAAGAGGTCTGTTTAGAGATCCAACTGCACAGTCAGCTTCTGCAACACAACAGTGCCTTTATCAGAGACGAAGAAGGGAATCCAGCGGAAATCAAGAGCGTGGAACTGATCAACCAGACCTCGATACATCCCTGTGTGAGATGGGAAAGCTTTGCCCATTATGGATCAGCTGTTATTGTCAAAGATGGTTGTCAAGGGAAGTTTAACGTCTGCTATTCTACAGGTGCCCCTCAACCATCAGTTCCTATAACAGAATCGCAAGGTAACAAAAGCATCGTTAAACATAGTTTTTCTGTAGTGTAAAGTTATACTGTTGTCCTCAAATAAGTCTTTCATATATATATATATATATATATATATATATATATATATATATATATATATATATATATATATATATATATATACAGTTTACGACCACCTAGTAAGTTATTGATTTTTCCATACTCTTACTGAGGGCTCTTCTAAATGCATTTTTTAGTACACTAAATCATTCAGTAAATGCAGTCACTGCAGCCTGGTGCATTATCCTCACATTATAAACCGTAACAAAACTAAACCGATTGCAACTCTTTTCAGTTCCCTTCGAAGGAAAGACAGCCTGTGTGATATTGATCTTTTGACCCACAGTGCCGACTTGGCTATGTATGCACTGCTTTCACCAGGCAAAATACACACTCACCCACTTGGTGCTTTTAATGGATCAGAAAGAGTTAACGACTCTTAATAGACTGTCAGAAAGGACCAGGAAATAGTGATTTCTTCCGGCTTTGAGGTTACCATGATCGCAACTTATCTGCTGCCTTTTCACAGCTCAATATCTGTCAGCCGTTCTGGGGCTTCCACTTCCATGCATACACATCACCACAACAGATGTATCCTCTCACTTACAAACTGCCGTTAAAACATTCGCTTGAAAAACATTCTCCCCAGATCCCTCCCTGTCTTACGAATTGACTTTGTCACCAGCACGGTTTTCTCTAACTTTTTCAGAGACCTAAAGACGAAACCTTTAGGGCGTTTTGGTCCAGAGTCGCTTACGTTCCCCCTCTGAGTCCCAATTAGGCATGGTCTTTTATCCTAAATGCAAGACAATTATCAGCACGTTGTTGGAGTGGATAGTTTTTGCATTCCCTAATGCTAATTTCCGGATACGCGGCGGACTCACCCCACCTCCCCACAATGTTTCTGGTGTGCATAACGGTGACCTCAAGCCAGTGCCATACACTTCAATTCTCAAGGTTCCAAAGGTGTTTTCCACAGAAGGTTACGGCCATCAATGCAAGCCTCTCCATTTACAGAATCTGTAACTCTCTTGAGAAACACTTTATCTATTTAATATGCTAAAACTCGCCTCATGACTTACCGTCCAACACAGCTTTATCTCATGTTTTTTGAGCTACGGCCCTTGCTTGCCACACCTTTTCCTGACTAGTATTCATTTCTTGTATTCAAACGCCTCTCAAAGCTTCAGCTGGCCAGACAGACATGTGGATTGTTCTTGGAGATAATCTATGAGTGTTATTGTCTGTTCATGTCATGTGCTGATGACGGCCTCGAGCCGCAACGTTCACTGGTAATTTCTGACAATGTGAAGCTTACTCTTTTTATTTTTCGTTTAGTTTGATATGTTTTCATGATATTTTTTACTCAAAACAATGTTTTCCTGTAATTAATTTAAATAATGGGGACACAACAATACATTGCACAATTTATTGCCGGGCATATTTCGCTGTATCAGGTGCGTCACTATAGAATTGTCTGTACTCGCATTATTTATTTATGAATATTGTTTACTGTTAACATCACATTTATATTATCTAACCTAAATGGCCTATCTAAGGATTTCCCACATAAAAATATTTAACACCCTCAAATGTTCCCCCACAGACTGCCTGACCGTGCGTCTGCTGAGCCAGGTACGAAAGCCGGCGGAGAAAACCATCCTGAGATCCGACGGGAAGGGAGATTTGATCGTCAGCATGGCTCTGATAGAGTCCTTCTCAGCCGTTACTTGCATTCTTGGCCTCACTTTCAACTACCTAGCCCACAAGGTGGAAGCCAGATACGGCTGCAGGGGAGATTTTCGTGTTTGTTTAGACCCTCTGATAATTTTAGATCCTGATTTGCCAGGTTGGTGAAAGGTTTCTTATCCCGTTTACATTGTTTTGACTTGTCCATTAACTTGTACGGATGATGAAATCTGTAGTTGCAGTAATTTTCACAAAAAATGACATGTTAAAACCTCATGGTTTATTTGAGATATAGGCCTAAAGTGTTTCTGGAGTTCTTAACCTATATATTTGTTATTTTATTTAACGTATAATAATATATTTAGGACAGTTGTGTAATTTGTATTAATGTTTCACATATTGCTTTGTTTACACATTTTTAGGGTTGTGATTAGGATGAAAATTGGGCTACGGATATCTAAATAACCTTACTAACACTGTGTCATTAAAAAGTGAATTTATTATGTCATTAGTATATTCAGTATTATGGTCTTTATTGTATGGTGTTTTGTCTGGTTTATTCATTGTCTAAAATGTGGAAAGCAGTCTTAATTTCCAAATGCGGGTTCACACATTGTAAAGGTAGCTTATGTGAAGCAGCAACTGATGTCTTGATATCGCCCTGGCTTATGTGAGCCGCCTCAGCAATTCCCATCAGAATCTCATTTGGATCTTAAAGCGTTAGCTGGGTGTTCCGGTTATATGGTATCTACGTACACCGGAGCCTAGCTGCCAACCAGGACTGACACAACCGGATGACACAATTACAAATGACAAATAGAACCGCTTTGAGGCTAAACCTAACATTTCACACACATATCCACGACATGACTAACCCGTTCTTATTGCAGGAAGACAACTATGAGACCACTATGGTCACATGCGAAATATTTTCACATTTCGGAACTATCAAAAAATCAAAAACTGTTGTCAGTACTTTTTGGCAAAGTAAAATACTCAAAATTTTAAAACGATAAAAGGTGGTCCAAAAGACGTTGTGTAGAAAAGCTCGCTCTCCTCCGAAATACTCCTGGCCAAATCAGAGGGAGATTAAACCAAGAGGAAACACTAAGAAAGAGAAGGAAATAAATACACAGCTTTCAACTGGGTAGTGGACGAGCGGTCTGATCGAAAGGAAGCATTAAGCCCAGAGACGGCGCAAATACTAGAATTTTCGTCACGAAAGTGACGCAAATAACACAGACCACAAATATAGGTGGAGACTGTTATCAGCTTCGGCTAGCTAGCGGCAGTCTAAAAGTGGTCGAACTTTTAATTTTTTTTTCTCAAAAAGAATCGGAATCGAAAAAAAAGGAAACAGGAAGCTGAGGCCCACGTGGGAGATAGAATAGGAGCAGCCACCAAGCCTCAATCTTCAGACAAAAGACAGCAGGTAGCGCAGAAAACACATGTTGGAAGACAATCTAATATCAGCAACCCTCAGGCAAACTGATAATGAAAAAGCAAAATCAAAAACCTCAATTGTAACTTTCACATCTAAGGTTTAACAAGGTCAGTTTATTAAAAAAAAATTTGTAGTAATTGTTTCTCCAGTTTGCTGCACACAGGGCTAGTTTTGTCAGTCCTTGTTTCTCCAGTTTGCTGCACACAGGGCTAGTTTTGTCAGTCCTTGTTTCTCTAGTTTGCTGCACACAGGGCTAATTTTGTCGGTCATTGTTTCTCCAGTTTGCTGCACACAGGGCTAGTTTTGTCAGTCGTTGTTTCTCTAGTTTGCTGCACACAGGTAAATGGAAGAATGTCGCCTGTAGCTACAGAGTTATGTGCGGACGGCGACACAGCCGGACAGTTTCCTATCAGCTGTCCGTACTGGTGGCAGAGCACTTATGGTTTATAACCGTTTGCAATGACGCTGGTTCACATCACCCGACTTTATCTTTTTACTAGGACCCTTTGACCTCAGTATATTATTAGGCATGTAAAATACTTGGTTTGCTTTGTCGGCTATCCTCCAAATAACGGCCACATATTATGGCGGCCAAGAAAAGACCCTGACAGGGCCTCAATCACATGTAAAATGCGGACTTCCATGAGAGTATTCCTAGCGCCGCTACTCGCGGCGCGGAGGGGTGGGTGTAAACTAGATGGCTGGGATTCACAAGCAAATAAAAAAGAGGTACCAGCTGCTCGTGAGTCCCAGCCATCTAGTTTAGCCACCCTCCCCGCCACGCGTAGCGGCGCGGGGAAACTCTCGGCGGTGACTTTAACTCGGCGGAAGCTTCTCCGGGGTATGCGGAATAGTCGCCAAAAAAAGGTCCGCAATTTGGATATGACTGAGGCCCTGTCAGGGTCTTTTCTTAGCCGCCATAATATGCAGCCGTTATTTAAAAGATAGCCGCTTTGTTTGTTTTTAATGTTGCATCTTTTCAGACTCCCTATCTGAATTGAGTTTACTTCCGAGATCTTTCAGCTTCTAGTGCTTCATCGTTTTTAAGATAACTGTGCTTTCTGTTCGCTAATTACTTCTCATTACTTAATTTTACTGGTTTTTTATCTTGAGTCTTATCTAAAGAGATACTGTCGAAAGTGTTTTCAATATTTTGATGAGCATACACAAAGCGACTTGACATAAGACTTATGTCATCTGCGTAGTCCAAATCCTCTAACATCAAAGTAAGCGACCATTTGATACCACCGTTTCTTTCTTGTTATCCGCATAGTATAATTTTTATTTTGAAGATGTTTGGAGATCTATTGACGTCTAGCACTCACTATGGAGTCGGCAGCTTAATTTGTGATTGACTGGTAAAGCTCTGTAAATCAGTGTAATTATGATTCTATTTTTCTGTGCTTTTAAGAAATATCTAGAAATTTGGAAACACGGAATTGAATTTGCAATTTCGTCGATGATGGCGTCTGCAGTTGGCGAAAACATTTGGTGAGTTTATATTCTGTATACCATCTACCTTACCTACTTTACGCTGGCATAAATTAAATTATACAAGATGGCATAATTTTAATTATACATTATAGTGATTGCAGTATACATTCTGGTGGATGGGCACACACACACACACACACACACACGATATATATATATATATATATATATATATATATATATATATATATATATATATATATATATATATATATATATATATACATTGTGTATACGATTTTACTAGACAATTTGAAGTTCGGTGGTCTGCTATTACTTATGAACAGCCTTCCCTGGATACATTTGCCGAAATCAACTCAAAGCGTCTGCTATCTAATCTTCCGTAGCTGGGGCTGTAACCGGGTATCTCGGAATTACAAATCACATTCACATCACCTGTCACAGAAACCGTTTTGCAATGAATTTGATAAAGGCATGACTGTATGATCGTTTAGAAACTAAAAATTACTATTCAATTGCCCCGTGAATCCCCGTAGCCATGCGGTTTCTATGTTTCTGGCTTCTTGTTTAACCCTGGGTTATTCAACTGATTTTCCGCAGACCGAATATGTCTAGCAAGTGGCCGGCGGATCATTGCCAGTTGTATAATATTAAAACAGGAGTCGCCGTGGCGTTGGCGGCTAGACGCCCGTCTGCGGATCAAAAGGTCGTTGGTTCGCGTCCTGGCGGAGCCGGACTTTTTTCAGCCTTGAGTGGGTACCAGGTGTAGCATTGGGAAGTAAAGGCGACCACATCACCCACCAAGTACCGATTAGTCTATAAAAATATATGTCTAGCCCTATATAGCCAATAAGCCTAAAGGCGTGGAAAAGGGCCCTGTACTAAACATTATATTACAGCTCTCTACGCTGGGGCTTGGGACTCTGACCTGCGATGATTCACGATTTCAACATTTTGGCCCCTTGGTAAACTTAGCTGAACCTCTCTGTGGTAAAGGATATGCAGCTAACTCTTTTTATTTTCAGGGTCAACTCTTGACTTATGGATGGTGAAATCTGCGTGCAGTCAGGATCTTGTCTTATTCTTTATATCAGTTTGAGCTGTCCGAGATTATTCACAATGATAAAACAGATGTGACTGGTCAGCGACTATCAATATTTTTTTTTCAACACATGCTGTATTAAAAATGAAACACGGTTTTGAGTCGTTTTCTTTTTTTAAAGACTGCGAATGTCCTTTGAAATGCTAAGAATTTAGAAATATCGCATTGAGTGGCATGGGTAATAGAACCTTTTCCTTAAAAAACATCCAATACGTCAAAAAATATCTAAAGACATCTAAATTTGCGTGGAAAACATCTAGAAAAAACACCCAAATAAAAAAGAGTCACAAATTACATAGCTATTGATATGACTTACCCTATAGAATCATGTCCTCATCTTTACTGAAGTCTGCCTTACAAGATCCACAGGATAAACTTAGCTTGGATGATGAAGTTGAAGCTTTAGATCCAAAACGACTCTAGAATGCTTTGGTTGTTCCAATTTCTTTTAATACCCAATCAGGGAGCTGATAAGTGGAACAGCCTTTTCCTACTCTTATCAGGCAACATTCTATTGTCAAGTTAGCATTTAGGAGGTAGAATTGCATCCTGTTTCTTAGGTTAGGTTTGATAAATTCACTCCAAATAAAAAAAACATACAGAAAAACATCTACCATCTAAACGTCAAAAACGTCATCCAAATACAAGGAAAACATCTAAATCTGGATGTAAAATATCCAAAGTGGCAACACTGCCCTTATCTCACCATTGGCGCATTGTGCGTTTGGTGCCAGATGCATCAAGTAATCGACAGTCGACGGGTGATGTAGTCAAAATTACACCAGCCAGTTTTACTTCCCAGGTCGTCTCCTAGTGCTCACTTTAAGCTTGGCATGATTTCTGAACCCAGGCCAGTTTTACGAATCTGCCTTACCGTAGATTGGAACCCAAGATCTTCGGACCGACAGACAAGCGTCTAGCCACTGGTCCTCCTCCCCCTACTCCTACGTGTCCTCTTCCTCCTCCTCGTGCACATCCTCGTTGTAGTCGTCCTCGTTCTTCTCCTCCTCTTAGAAGCGCAAAGAAGAAGAAGAACAAGAAGAACAAGAAGAAGAATGAGGAGAAAGAGGAGGGGAAAAAAAGTGGGACGACGACGACGAAAAGGACGAAGGATGACGACGCAGAGAAGGGCGGCGACGAGAAGTAGAAAGACAACGAGGAAGAGGACGACGAAGACGTGGAGAAGGATGTGGACGAGGAGACGAATTCTACTACGACAATGACGACGAAGACGACAATGACGACGATGACGACGACGAAGATGACGAAGACGGCTAATAAATGAATACGACGAGGAAAACGAAGTGTTTAAATGTGTGCATGTACTTCAAAGACAGCACGCAAAACAACGAAAACAATAGCAGGTTTGACCCATGTACTTTATTCCATCGAAAAGCGCTCCATTCACAGACAGCACCTGATTTCCTTTGTTAAAACTTTAAAGTATTGTCCCTAAAAGCCACGGTTATGTCCCGTCTAATGATTCTATTTCTGAAGTAATTATTCATCCTGAGCAGATCTGCAAACCCACGTCATTTCAAACATCATGGCTTTATTGAGGATTCCATCACATGACCACAGTGTTGGTAGCCAAGCTCCTAATTGTTACTTACGAATTTTTGATGTTTCCTTAGGTGCTAATTCTGGAAGGGGAAAAAGGGGAAAAAGGAGTGGGGGGGGGGGGGGGGGTTGTTGGTGAAAACTGATGAGGAGGGTAACTAGTCAACTCACCTCTGAAAAAAAGAATACGTAGCATTTACCTAGGCATTCAGGTTCCCCAGCTTGGAATAGTTACAAGAGTAGTCCTGGGAAATAAAGGCAGCCTTCAAATATTTTACACCATCACTCATCGAGTTCCAACTAGTCTAATATGTGTTCTTCTTTCGATTATCCATCTGCTCATGACATAAAGCCTCGCCGAGATGAGTTGCAATAGTATAGTGTCTTTTAGTGACGTAGCTTATGATGTTATATTGCGTTTCTCTAGTGTCTCTTTTTCTCCCTCCGACCATCTCTTTCTTGGCCAGTCCTGCCTATTGTATTGTAGCCTGCTGTTCTCATACAGTACTCTCTAACTGCTGGCTGATTTCCATTCTGACCTGTTGACCAAACCATTTCATTCTTTGATGCTTTATGAAATCATGTATCGGTACTGCCAAGCATTGTTGTTAGTTCTCCATTAGTGACCCTTTGTTCTTATTTTTGCCGTTGTATTTCTTTTGCATCTCATTTCACATGCTGTAATTTTGTATTTATGTTTTTTTTTCTAGGCATGGGTTGTGGGGAGGGGTGGGAAAAAAGGGGGGGGGGGTGTTTACCTGTTCCTTATTGTGCTCAGTTGGTCTTACTTTTCGTTCTGGTCAACAGTCAGTCACTTTTTTGCGTTACCAACGTTTGTGGGATTTCCAACCCTTGTGGGAATTCCAATCCTTGTGGGAATTCCAATCCTTGTGGGAATTCCAATCCTTGTGGGAATTCCAATCCTTGTGGGAATTCCAATCCTTGTGATGGTAGTGGTGGTGTATCTTCTTGGTGACGTGGTGGTGACCATGCCAGCGACCGTGGTGGTTACCATGCCAACGTTTGTGGTGGTTACCATGCCAACGTTTGTGGTGGTTACCATGCCAACCTTTGTGATGGTTACCATGCCAACCTTTGTGGTTATGACCATGCCAGCGTCCATGGTGATGTCGATGCCAGCGTCCAGGATGACGTTTGTGGTGATGCTTGTCGGAATCGTAGCACACTTCGAAGTCAGCTCGGCAACCATCTTTGGCGAACACTTTGCGGCCACTGAACCCGAAGTTGCGCTTGCGACAAGAAGTCCCATCGTGGAACTCGTCAAGGACTCGCATTTTGTCGACACGGAAGGAGACAGTCTTCCAGTCATCGTGTTTGATCCTGCTTAGTAAACGGACAACCTTACACTCTGCGGATGGGTAAATACAAGAATAATAATAATAATAATAATAATAATAATAATAATAATAAAATTAGTAATAATAATAATAAAAATAATAATACAAAAAATATTTTTCTTTATCTGGATCACTGCTCGTGAACTCCTTAAGAACGTCGTGACTTGTCCACAGTCGGATGTTGATCTTGTTCTAGGATATAAGTGTTGCGCGCGCAACCGTTGTCCAGATTTAGCCTAATGTAATCAGCCTGTAAATAAGGATGATATGCTGTGACTTCGAACGATACGTTCATACTATCTACGTTGTCCTCCAGTAGGTAGGTAGTTGTACCCCACCAGGACATCATATATGCGATAAACACCCGGTGACACAAAGTGCCACCGTGCGGATAAGGATCACCCGTGAAGAGCTCCCAGAAACCCATTTCAGCCGTTAGGCCATATCTATGGCTAGGCCATATGTATGGCCCGGCTATATTCAGGGCCCACGACAAGAGCCAGGGTGGGGCTCCAAAATAACAAAAATTGCATTCACACGAGGGGACGAATTAGTGTAACGCCTCCAGTCTGTCTGTTTTCTTTTACCCCACCAGGACACCAAACAAGCGATAAACACCGGATGACACAAAGTGCCACCATGTGGATGAGGATCACCCGTGCAGAGGTCCCAGAAACCGCGTTCAGCAATTAGACCATATTTATGGCGGGGCTATATTGGGGCAAAAGATCTCGTGGAAGACCAAGGGAAACCCTACGTAGAACTATCATCAGGGAAGGCTCGCTCATGGGCCACTCAAACATCCAAGACCTACAACGGATTGCAACGGACCGCCGTGCATGGAGAGTCGCGACCTCTGCCCTATGTGCTGCACTCGACACAAGAGGAAAGACTAAGTAACTAATATTGGGGCCGCTGGCAAGAGCCAGAGTAGTGCTTCAAAAAACGAAAAATTGCATCCCAAAAAG